TGGAGGTTCCTAAGTCTCTCCCCATTTTTTTGAATTCTTGCTTCTTCACTGTTTTCTGTTTGGCCATTATTTGCTTTCTTCTGGTGCACTCCATTGATTTGAGTCCCAGTTTCCTTTCCATTACTATTGGTTTCCTATGCAATTCCATTCATTTCAATTAGTTTGGCCTTCATACGTTTGTCTAATTTGTGGCTATAATCAACCAGTTCTGTGAGGATCCTGATCACCAGTGTTTTAAATTGTGCGTCTGAGAGTTTTGCTATTTCTTCATCACTTAGACTTATAGGCTCTGGGGCTTTGAGATCTTCTTGAGCTATTTTTGGTCTGTTTTCACCAGTTAAGTATGAGGAGCGGAGCCTTGGACTCTCAGGTCACTGGGTTGTGATGCTATATGTAGGGGCGTGGTCAGAGCGGGGAAATGGCGACCTCCTCTGCTGTTTCTCGCTGCTGGGTGAGGAGCAGAGCCTTAGGTGGTTCACCAGGGTGGGGCCACTCAGGTAGCTGGGTTATGATGATGTATGTGGAGGCGGGGTCAGAGCGGGTAAATGGTGGCACCCTGTGCTGTTTGCCGTGGGTCCTGCTCAGTCCCGTAGTCTCACCACCCACTCCCTCGCTTGTTTATCTGCACAGGAAAGCACAACCACAGTCAACCAGCAGCCCTGCTCTCTCGCTGTTTCCCGGCGGTCGCTCGCTGAGTCGCTTACTAGATGTCCTGGACCCTACCCTGGACCCAACCCTGGACCCAACTAGATGTCCAGGGTCCAACCCTGCACCTGGGTTCCGAGCGCGCGAGTCCGTCTGACTGAGATTTTCTGTGCAACCCCACTCCAACAGCTGCTGGTTTCGCCCCTCTTACTGGTCAGGCTGAAGAATTTGTTGTTATCAGACTTCAGAAAAGTTCAATTTTCTGTATTCTGGCTGTGTTTTCTGTTGCTAATATTTAGTTGTCTCTAAACTTGGTTGTGAGAGAAGGCACAGCGTCTCCACCTATGCCTCCATCTTGGTGGAAGTCAGTATACCTTTCTATTATTTTAATTGTTGTTCAAGTACAGTTTTCTGCATTTTCCCCCCACCCCTCCCCACCACCCCAGCCATCCCTGCCTCCCTCCCCCATTTCCACCCCATCCTTGTTGTTGTCCAAGTGTCCTTTATAATTGTTCCTGTACACCCTTCACCCTTTTCTCCCATTATCTCCTCCCCATTCCCTTATCATCAGTGTCAGCCTGTTCTCAATTTCAATGTCTTTGGCAATACTTTGCTAGCTTGTTCATTTTGTTGATTAAGTTTAGGATGGATGCAGCCAGCTGTCCCCTCCACAGGAACCAGCTCAGCTTGGCAAAGACACTGGGCTCTGAATGATAGATCGAAATAGTCTCTTGTCAAAGGCGTTGCTGACCAAGCCTGCATTATTGGGCTGAGCACTTTCTCCTGTCCCAGACAGTTGCCCCAACAGACTCTCACTAATATCCCAGCTCTGAACAGCTCTCCCTGCCCCCTGTGGAACTGAGCTAAGCAGGGTGGTATATCTGGGACTGGGAAAGGCAGATTCAAGCAGACTCCCCTTGTGGTTGTTGCCCTCACACCTGTAGCTGAGGGGCAAGCACTTCTTCCCAAGGTAGTACAGGTTGAGCCTGCAGGGGAGATAGGAGAGGCCCTCTTGTAATGTAGCTACACTACCCAGCTCCTGCTTGTTTGATTCCTGGACAAAAATCTTCCCCAGAAGACATGGCCCCCAATTCCGAGCTCTGTCTGGCACTCTGATTCCTCTGTGCAGCTGAACTCAGCAGGATTAGGCTGGCCAAATGATTCAACAGGTGGGGTCAGGGGTGCAGGCTGTGTACCTGAGGTGGGAAAGATTGGTTCCCTTTACAAAGCCACAGAGTTCAGTCACTGAGTCTCTGCTATAAGTCTTCCCAGAAAAAGAAGGGCACAAAATGTCACTGCTTGTTGTAGCCAGAAGATCCTTCCTCAGGAGCCCAGCACAGCAGAGTGGCCTTTGGAGCAGTCAGGGACCAGGCAGCACTCCCCAGGCTGTAACAGTAGGTGTGCTCTTCCCTGGGAAGGTGGCATCTGGGTCTGTAGCAGACTCACTTGTCCCCCATGTGCACTGAGTCCCCATTGAGTTTCACCATCAATGGTATGTGGGCTCATCTTCTCTGTCACCTGGGTTGGCGATCCCTGCAAGGGGTTGAAACCCAATGCTCCTGTGGGGTGAACAGGTTTTCTGTTATGTATCTCTTTATTGAAGTTCTTGCTGAGATCCTTGGACATGCTTATTATTAGCAGTGTTTTGAACTCTGCACCTGGTAGTTTGCTTGTGTCCATTTTGTTTAGTTCCTTTTTTGGTGTTCTGTAGTTTCATTTGGGACATGTTCTTTTTTCTCCTAATTTTGGCTGTCTCTGTTAGTTTCTATATATTAGGTCGGGCTCGAGTATTTCCCAGTTTTGGTAGAGTGGACTTATGTAGCAGGTGACCTGTGGGGCTAAGTGTCACATTCTTTCTGTTCACCTGAGCTAGGTGCTACAGCTGTGTCCCTGTGTGGATTGTATGTGCCCTCCTGTTGTAGTTGAGCCTTGTTTGCTGTTGGCATATCAATGGGAGGGAATTGACCCTCAGGCTGATTGGTTTGAGGACTGACTATTGTGGAGGAGGTATAGTGTGAAGGCCTATAACCCTGTGGAGCAGGATTCACTTTAGTGGGACTCTAGTTTCCTCCCAGCCTGCTTTTTGAACCTGTTGTTTGTGGAAGTGCTGCTCTGATGTGGCGTGAAGTTGGGCACTGCATGTGTTGATTCTTGGGCCTCTTGAGAGGTACAGGCCAAAGACAGCCACTGCTTGTGCCTTGTTTGAGGTCACTGGTATGACCTATAAAGTGATTTGTAGGTGGTTGCTCCCTCTGCTGGGCATGGTGCTGCCTGAGAGAGGCCAAGCTCTGCAACCTGGCTGCCACTAGTACTGAGTCTGGGACCACTTCACAAGGGGTATAGGGCACATTGAGGGCAAATTCTGCATGTGTGGTGTTTGAGAACATTTGAGAGAGTTTAGGAAAGTCTGCTGCATGAGGCAACACAGGACATTTGTATGGTAAAGCCACTGTTAGGCTCTTGGTTCTGCCCACAAGTTCGGTGGGGTGGGGTCTTAGGGAATCACCAGGGCAGAGTAAATAGTGAATGGTGTTCTCCAGGAGACTCAGATATGGTGCCTACCTGCACCTGCAGGGAGAGAGCTCAGCAAAGGAACAATGGCCTCTGCCAGTGCTTCTAAGAGAAAGCTGCACCTCTACCTTCAACATAAATACAGACAATTTAGTACATTCTCATGTACCCCTGGTGCCTTTCTAGCTGCCACCCTTGTGCTTGAGCTCAAAGTGAGTGAGTCTGTCAGCAGGTGAGTTTGTGCAGCCCCTTTAAGAGGAATGCTTTGGATTCCAGAATCCCTCAATCTTACTGAGCCACAACCTCTGCTGGTGTTCACAGCCAGAAGTTATGGGAACTTCTCTTCCTGGCACTGAAACCCTGGGTTGGGGGTTTGATGTGGGGCTGGGCCCCCTTGCTCCTTAGAAGGGATTTCTGCAGCCAGAATATTGCTACTGATTTTGAACTGCCACATGTGGGTGTGGGACCAGCTCGTACTGCATCTTTGGCTCTCTACCAGTCTTGATATGGTTTCTTCTCTCTATATTTTTAGTTACAGGACTGCTGTTCAGGTAGACTTCAGGCAGTACTCAGTGACGGTTGTTCTGTAATTTAGTTGTAACTTTGATGTGGTCATGGGAGGAAGTGAATACAACTATTTCACCACCTGGACCCATCTTCATCAATCTTGTGTTTTGGTTTTTATTTTAACATTTAGTGTTTTGAAGTTAATTTTCTACCATCTAACTTTTTAAATTAGTTTTGTTCTTTTTTTCTAACTTTCACAATTAAAATCTTAGCTCATATGTTTTTAATCTCTTACTTACAAAGAAATGCTTTTAAAGCTGTAAAATTGCCTATATGTGTCATTTTAGAATTATTTATGTCACCCTAAACATTTTGTGCTCCCCTATGTCAAAACTATGCATGGTAGTAAGATTGCAAAAACTAATTCTTTTAAAGATTTTATTTATTTACTTCTTGGAGAGAGAGGAAGGATGAAAAGAGGGGAAGGGAAACATCCATGTAAAGGAGGTACAGTGATTGGTTGCCTTTCACACGCCCCCTACTGGGGACTTGGCTGGCAACTCAGGCATATGCCCTGACTGGAATTGAACCTGTGATCTTTTACTTTGTAGGCTGGTGTTCAATCCACTGAGCTACACCAACCAGGCACAAAAACTAATCTTTAGTGACTATTGTTTTAACATCTCAGACTGTTTAAAATTAAACAGAAGGAGTAAGCAGAAGTGTGTGAGTACAGAGAAACACTTATTTCACAGTCCATGTCTGCATCCCCCTTCAGACGCTGAGGTGTACTGCACGTACAGATCACCACAGAAAATTGAACAACACATAAGTAAACTAGTTCTGTAATTTATAGACCACACCAGTTTTCACATTCACCAATACGTGGTCCTAACTGCAATCACACAGAAAGTGAATTTCAAAGGGAAAACGGTTAGTATTAATTTTTATGACATATGATATGAATGAATTTTTCCTTTACTCCTGCTAAAATTTCTTTGTATCTTTTGCTCCTGCCTGTGATAAAACAGTTTGTATGTGGATGTGGCCAGGTCTATTTTAAGACAGAATTTCCCTCCCATTGTTTTCTACTGAAGTTGTGCATCCTATAAAAGTCACTAGTTCTCTTCTAATCTTTCTTTCTAGAATGAGGAATTTCCTATAAACTTGTAGTTTACTGTGGACTTGATCAGTTAAAATTCCTCTTACATGTGGATAAGAAAAGAATTTTTTAAAAGATCATGAGAAACAATGAAAATAGTTAATGATTAAAGAATTTAATTAAATGACTATAAGGCCTTAATATAAATATTTATAAATGTGATGATGCAGTGACGTGTTAAACCTCTTATTTACAAAGCTGACTGTAGCCATCTGGTCACATTGGCTGAATTTCTTTTAAAAAATCTCTTTACATGCCATTAAAAAGTTAAGAACAAGATTAAAATCTAATTAATACATTAGGAAATCATCAAATACTAACATAAACACTTTTACTATTTAACACAATTTTACTTGTTAAAATATTTCATCTTGACTCTTGAGTCAAATTACTTTTCTATCAAATAATCAGGGGATGGGACATAGATGGGGTGGGGCACGATACCCAGTACCTTACACATTTTCACAAATGGAGTGGTTTGTCATCAATCACTTACCCACCATTCTGGTCTACCCACTAATTCTGACAATACAGCCATCTCATTTCATCAATGAGAAGTTCCAGGAGGTTTGTATATCAGCTTGTGTTGTCTTAAGTTTGGTTATTAGCCTTCGGTTATTTGATACTAAGGTCTATTCCTTTCTTTTTTTCCTTAAAAGATTTTGTTTATTTATTTTTACAGAGAGTGGCAGAAACATTGGCCCACAAACCAGGCATGTGCCCTGACTGGGCACTGAACCTGCAACCTTTTGGTTTGCAGTCTGGTGCTCAGTCCACTGAGCCACACCAGCCAGGGCAAGGTCTATCCTTTCCTGAAGAGAGTTTCAGTAATGGAAATTACTCTTCTCTAAACTTGAGCCCAATGTGGCTGAAACATTGTTTGTTTAGGAAAGCAACAAGAATGCATGTTAGGAGATTGGAAAGCTCTATACTTATCCTACGTGTAGGTTGACAAAACCCAGCAAAGGTAAGAAAGTGTTTGGGGACTTTGGGCTCAGGACTACTGGTTCAGTGGGTGAGACATGGCTGCCCCCTCCTCCCTGCCTTGGTTTCCTCTCTATCCTACCTAACATTATCACCTTTCAATTTTTTTTTTTAGAAAAGCATAATAGACAGCACAGCTATGTGGCTAAAAGTCAAAAATACTTGTAATTGCATTACTCAGGTTCAGGAAGATGTTAAACACTCTTGGCTGGTGTTTTAGTATTTAAAAAATACTACATATAGCTCTGGCCAGTGTGGTTCTGTTGGTTGGGCGTCACCCCACACAGCTAATGGTCGCCAGTTCAGTTCCCCATCAGGGCACATACCTGGGTTGCAGGTTTGGTCCTGGTCAGTACTCATACAAGAGACAACTGATTGATGTTTCTCTCACATCAATGTTTCTCTCCCTCTCTTTCCCCACCCCAAAATAGGTAAATAAAGTAATTTTTAAAATACTGCATATAATAAATATTTTGAAATTATGTATACATTACAGAAGGCATCCTTAAACAGAAACACATATAAAACAGAGCTGTATATTCACTAGTTGGCAAAAATGATCTGACCAGAGATTCACAGGAACTCTGTATTTTCCCTAGGAGCAGCGGATCAGCATTTATTACCTTAGTGTTGGCTTTGTCTTCAACACAACAGCCATAACCAGTAGGAAGGTAGAGTGTGTACACCCCTTGCTTTGGTCTCACTTCAATCCTATCGACACTGTTTTTTCTTCAGCATCTTCTTTTTGCTTCTGTGACACACTTGCACTGCTGCCTCTCAGACTGCACCTGTATCAGTGCTTCTCAGATTTCAATGTACCTAAGGAATCCCTTGCTGATTTTGCTAAAGTGCGATTATGATTCAGTAAGTCTGAGGTGAGGTCCAAGGATATAGATTTCTACCAGCTCCAAGGTGGTAACTCTGCTGTTTATCCCTGAACCACAGTAAATAGTGAGGACTGTATCCTGCCTTTCTCTTTTTGTTTAAAATGCTTGGAAAAAAATTTCATGCAAATAGGTCTCTACAGTTGTAAGAATGGTTAGAGGCAAAATTGTGTTTCTCCTCAGAGATTCAGAGAAGTCACTGATGAACTAATAAAGTGTGAAGACTTTTAACAAAAAGACCATAGAATGTCTCAACTAGTACAAACATGTCGAGAAGATAGATAATAAGAAAAGACTATATATTTGGCATAAACTTAATGCAGGTTTTTATGGAAAGCGTACCACATACAGTTAATACACTTTATAAATGATACAAACTTTAAGAAAATACAGACTTTGCTCTCAGGAAACTTGAAAATTAGAAGGAAAAGGAACCTGCATAGCTGCAACAAGGGATAAAAAGTATAAACTTGGCAAAGGGTGCTGCAAAGTGTGGTGGGAGTTCAGACACTGCTTCCACTTGTGAATCAGGGAATGCCCTCCCCCCCCCAGAAGTGACATCTTACATGGGCCTGAGATTCATTAATTTTCCAATATGTAGAGGTTACTAGGATCCCATTTTATCCAGAGTTAACATATGATTTTTCAAATCTCAGAACCAGGTCAGCAAGCAAATTCTACAAACTTACATTTAGTTTATATTAATAACAGACTATTAAATAAGCACAGGTAAACAACAACAAAAACTGTACAAAAGAGAGTTGAAAGGACATAATCACCATGCTGAGTTTTAAGTATATTTTGAGTCCCTGGGCTGCTGGGATCTCTCCAAAGGAAGAAGAGTGGGATAAGGTTCGCAGAGTTTCCTAATAAGAACAGAGATGAACATTACTGTGCATGAGGTGGAGGTGAGAATTGAAGAGTAAAAGGAAAGGGACTGGAAAAAAGAATTAGGAGAGAGAAAGGGAAAAAAATACAGGATAACAAGTAAGGAGGGGATAAAAGAAAGGGAAAGATGGATACAGAAAACTCACCAGCGCTTTTTAAGCCAAAATGCAAGGCCTGTCAGAAGAAGCACCAGGGGGACCATCACTGCCAAGACGATCAAGCCCTTGGAGGTCGGATGGTCTGTGGGTTCAGGTGCACACAAGAGTATCATTTCAAATCCACCCCTTGGTTACTGCATTTCCCTCATTTGCTTCTTTAAATCTGAATGTTGGCCTCACTAATCTCCTTTCTTCCTGTTTCTTCTGTCATCCCTCTTCACAGATGAATCTTTAATCTAACCCTGAATATCTTCCTACATCTGCAAGTCTCTTATTTTCACCTATTTTATTCACTAAATTATTTTTATTCTTTTGGGTTTGGATCCATAAATTCCAGATTTTTATCTGGCTCTTTGGCTCTGCTTGTGGACCATCTACTCCTACTCCCAGTGTGGACCCCAGTTTTTTCTTACCCAAGTAGAGGATGATGTCCTGGCCTTCTAGACTGCTGTGTGTCACCCGGCAAGACAGGCCAAATGTCTTGGTGGCTTCCACATCCAGGTAACTCCGAAGATACCATGTCTCATCAGCATTGGGCAAGATATCACTTTGTTGAGAGGCCTGTTGTGCCTGTTCACCTCGCATCCACGTAACGGAAATTGGCTTTGGGTAGAAGCCAGAGACATGACAAACCAGCAACAGATGGTGAGGACCAGGACTGGGGCCAGTGGACAGCCAGGCCTCTGGTTTTACTGCAGAAGACAGGAAAGACATTCAGATAAGGACTCTAACACAGACTTGGAGGTTCGTATCTTCACATCAGTTTAGACACCTCTGTCCCACCCTGGCAATTCATCACTCATTATCCCTCTTCTCTTGACTCCTTCTAAGTTTAAAGGGATGGTAGGAAGGTATAATTTTAGAATAGAAAATTTTTGGAGGAAGGATATAGGACTGACCTTTTCTCTGGAGATCTGCCTTCCCTGCATCAAGGAGACCCAAAAGGAAGCGTGGACAGGTGTTACTGATCCTCCAGTGAATCATTTTGTTGAAGAGAATGAACTGGTTGAGTAGTTTGCCTATCTTCTGAGCTCTTGTTCCACCCTGTAGAGATGGCACCCATGAACTGTTCTGGAAGCTCAGAAACTCTGATCCTTGATAAGCAACTCGCCAGAAGTCTAGCTTGATTTCTCCAGAGTGCAGCTCACAGCCTCCTATTACTTGGAACTCCATGGGATCTAGAGAAGAGGGATTGTAAATTAGAGGAAAGAGGGAGTTAAAAAGGTGAAATAAGTGGAAGCAAAAAGAGAGGAAGAAGAGAGAAGTTTGGGGGATTTGAGGTAAAGGAGCAAAGTTTCATTTTCTCAGAGTTCAGAAAAAACATAATTGGTGGTACTTGAAGGTGAAAAAAATGAGTGACTTTTTTCTTTGGAAATGGAAGGGAGTAAATTTTTGAAAGAAAGTGGCATAAATTTTCTTTGGTGAGAGAAAGAGAATAAGGAAGAACTTAGTGAGACAACTGTGTTTATAATAGCTAGGGTGAATGAAGTGAATTAGGTTACAATGAATGTATAGATAGAGATTGCTAAGGAGATTGAATATGGAAAAAAAATTGTAATAAAAAACGCATTGAGACAAACATACTTCACCCAACATTGCACCAACTCATTTTGGGATTTGAACTTACATTCAAGCATCCATTCATTGGCACGGTTGTGAAGTACATGCATTGATTCATTGTAGATCCCTTTGATTAAATTTTCTATTTCTACTATCTTCTTGTTGCTGAAGTTGCCGTTGGACCAAGGCCGCAGGGAAATGAAACCACCAGAGTTTCTCTTCCAGCTCGCAATCTGCAACTCACCCAACCAACCAGAGATCCAAGTTTGGGTCCAGGATTGGTTGTGTAAGGAAAAAGTACCAATGGTTCTGAGGATTTGGTCCTGGAAGGCTATTGGGGGAAAAAAAAAAAAAAGATAGGAGGAGGGAAAAAAAGGCACTGGGAAGGAAAGAGAATGAAGAAAGAAAGGTGGCAGAGAGAGAAATCTCAGAATCTGTAGACAAGGGAAGCCATAGTTACCTCAGCAAACATTCACCTACCCAGAGCCCCATGCTTTATATAAGTGTTGGGCAAAAGTAGACTTACAGTTGTTAGAAGGAAAAAACAATACAATAATCACTAAATAAGAACACAAGAATAAACTGTTTCATATGCTCACAGCTCTAGACCTACTTTTCTTCCACCTTGCACAACCTTCAGAAAGCACAGGGTCCTGAAGTGGTGCTGAAGGGATATTCAGAATGGAACTGTGCTGACATTCTCACTCTCCAGGTGTGTTCTGAGGACACCACACAGAGAAACACTCACACACACACCCTTTTGCACCAGCTGGGCAGTTACCAGAGTTCTTACCATCTTCACTGTCACCACCTCCGAGGAGAACTGCTAGCAATGGAATTTGCAAAAACAGCATTAGTGCACAGATGTTACTTCTTTCTCTCACATAAGTTTGTCTTTGACTTCTGTTTTGAGTAAACCCTACCACATAATAGTTCTTTGTCTCACTTCCTTCTTCTACCAGCAGACAAACCAGTACCACCATCATCCACCCCAGTACAAAATAAAAACCACACACACACATAACATGCTCCTTCCCTAAACTCTAGTCATCAGTTAGCTTCTTATTTCTTCTCCAGTTCTGACTCTCCTCTTGGGCTTTCAGCATCTTCCCCTCAGTACCAGCCTTCATTCTGTTCACCTTTCTCTAATTCAGCCTCTATGCAATGAAGTCTTATGTGGTATTTTTTTTAAATTTATTTATTTATCTTTAGAGGGGAAGGAAAGGAGAAACATCAATGTATGGTTGCCCTTTGCGCATCCCCTGCTGGGAACTGGCCTGCAACCCAGGCATGTGCCCTGACTGGGAATCGAACCTCGATTGTCTGTTTCGCAGGCCTGCACTCAATCCACTGAGCTACACCAGCCAGGGCTTATGTGGTATTGAAAAGTCTTCTCATTCATACAATAAATGCATAAAACTAAATGGCTTTCCAATTCCCATCTAATGTTCTTATGTCCCTGCTCTTTTCTGTCACTCTCTCCTTCTCTTGTCAAATTTAAATAGTCTCCAAATATTCTCTTCTTCTGTCTCTGAGACACCCCACCTCATTCATTTCTCTGACATCTCACTGGTTGCTTTACTGATTTCCTGAATCTTCTGTGACTGCCTGTGTAACAGTGGAAACTACTACTCCATTATTCTTAGGGAAGAACAAGTAGCCATTACAGACATCACAGAAACTGTGAAACACATTAAGAAAAATGTCTACTTGACTTGTATTGATGTATATTCATTGACCTGAGTGTCACTTGGTGCCTGCCTGGTTACACTTGTCTTGCAACCCTCATGAATATACAGTTGTCTACAATGCACTCGCTTTGTTCAAGGAGCTTTTCTTCTACTTAAGAAGAAAACACAAAACCAAGAACTAGAAATGTTGGTGTGCTGGGTTTTATTATAAATATAGACTCTAGACAAAAACAAGCCTTCTTGAAACAATATTTTGTGAAGTGGCAAACCTTTCCCTGATAAGACTCTGGACTTGAGTGGTATGCTCGGGGTGTTAGGTCTGTCTACCTCTGTTGTACTGGGTCCCCAACATCTAACAGAATGCCTGTTAAAGGTTCCCAGTGAGTAATTTCAAATGATTGAATAATTTGGTTCAGAAATCCAATTTTTTTTTAATCATTTAGATTTTAACATACTTTTCTTGAGACATCAGAACTCATTATTTGTGCTTCTACTTAGTGACATGGGTATATTAAACAGTTTCATTTAGGAGTAAAATATATGCTAATAAGCATAAAGTTTACACAAAGGCTTATGACATAAATCTCCTATAACTTATATTTTAAACCTGTAGAGGTTACAGTTAAATAAATTACAGTGTAGGTTGCATATATTCAAGAGACACATTCATTACTAGTATGTGCTGAAATGTGAAAAAAAATTTTAACTGCAAATGTGCTTTTATTATATATATATATGTAAAAATGTCTTTTTAAATTTTAGTTAAAATCAACAACTTATTATGCAAAGAAATATAAAAACATAAAGAAGTTCTTTTTAAATAACAGAAACATTGATATTGCTAAAAAAAAAAAAACAACCAAAACGTCTTTAATATCAATCAGAATCTTCAATAGTTGGCTTTGCAAAATGTTTGTAACACTCATCACAAAAAATATTGTTACACTCAAGTCATAAATACTTTTCACAACATTAGCAAAAAAATTTTGATAAGCAACTCATTTTCAATGCATAGCACCTAACACATCTTTTTTTTCTGCTTAAGGGAGCTATATCTATGATGTTGTTAAAATTTTCTTCAATTTATGTTTGAAATGGATGAAGTTTAAGGTGTAAAGACTTTTGCAAAGCTGTAGAGATTCCTGAACACCTTTTTATTTGTTCTGACACTGACTGTTATAAGATTTCTAATAAATATTTTGTGCCTTATTTTCAAATTGCTGGTCAGCATATGAATAGTCTGAGCATTTATTACTAAATTCAACACAATATTTAAATATTTCTACAAAATATTCAAATATTTCTACTCAGGAGTCAACACAATATTCAAATATTTCTACACAATGTTCAAAATTGTGTAGACTCTAACTATAGGTCATCATCCAGTGTTCCTGGTCACATTATATGCACCTACCATCTGGTTCACAGCATCAACTACTGATGTAAATTGGTTATAATATTCTATTTTTAAAAAATATTTTCTGTTGACATCCGCCAAGATGGAGGCGTAGGTGGAAGCATTGTGCCTTCTCACAGAACAAAGTTTAAAAACAACAAAGTTTTAGCAATAAAAACGCAGCGAAACCACAGAAAATTGAACTGCATGGAATTCTGGCAACAATAAACCCTTCAGCCAAATTGGTGCGAGGGGCAGAGCCAGCAGCAGAGTGGGATTGGGCAGGGAAGATCCACCAGACCAACCCAGGTGCGCTACCCAGGTGCACCAGCAGCCATGGGCGGATCCCAGGTGTGGAGAAGTGGGAGGACCCACCGAGGGCTCAAGGTGGTAGACCCACTGAGAGCTGATCACAGTCACACATTCACACGCAGATAAACTGGTGAAGGAGTTAGCAGTGAGACGAACCTCGCAGGCCCCAGTGGCAGGAAGCAGCAGAGGGAGCCACGATTGTCCATCTCTGACCCCGCCCCCACATACAGCATCATGAACCAGTGACCTGGGTGGCCCACCCTGGTGAACAACTAAGGCTCTGCTCCTCATACATAACAGGCACAAACAGATCAAAACATGGCTCAAGAAAAACTCAGAGCCTCAGAGCCAATAACTCTAAGCGACCAAGAAATAGCCAAACTTTCAGATGCACAGTTCAAAACACTGGTGATCAGGATGCTCACAGAACTGGTTTATTCTCCATGCTTTTCTCATCAGAAGCTGGTCTTTGCTGGGCATGCTGACTGTCCTCTTGCTGTTTATCATGGTTAAAAGGCTCTTAAAATTTTATTTCTCTTTGAAACTTGCATATAAAAGGGCTTTGGCTATTATATCCTATTTCTTTGTATAAGTAAAAAGAAATTACCAAGGACTAATTTAAGAAAGGAAATATTTGGGGAAACAGTTAAGATTATCTTAACCCTAAAAAGCCAAAATGAAAGGCAGTAAGGGTTTATTTGGAATCCAGAATTGCAATTTGGGAAAGCACAGATTCAAGCAGAAACTTAATGTCCTGACTACAGGGTGAGGGCAAGGGAATTTCATGAGAAAAGAATGGGATAATTGGATTAATACAAAAAAGACATTTTTGTATGGGTGCTAACAAGCTAAATGGCTGATAGGGCTTCAGAACAGGACTCCCCAAAAGGTGTGACTTTAGCATTTGAATTACTTTGACTGAAAGGCAATTAAGACCTTGCAGCTTACTAGAAACTTTGACCTGTCCTTCAAAGAATTTAAAATAAAGGTCCTGCCCATAATACGCTATCACCAGAAATAACTTTTTTTTAAAACTGAACATCTCCTCATCCTGCAGTGAGCTTTTGAAGCCTCTGTGTATCTTACCTTTTGTTTACCTCAGAGTTGCCTCATATACCTCATTTTAACTGTGAACAAAATAAAGCCTATGTAATAAACTTGACAAGTTTGGCGACAGAAAGTCACCTCACAGGGTGATGTGATCATAAATTTCTAACTAGGCAGGTAGGCACTTATGCTCCAGGTCTATAAAAGGCTAATCTGTGCCTTATGTGAGCCCTGTCCATTGTTCTTGTGCTTCCAGGTTAACACACCTTTGAAATGTCAGAAGTAGTCTTTTCCAGATCTCTCTAAAGTGTAACCACCCTCAAGAGAGCATACAATTTTGTTATGTGGGACTATCCTGTCTCACTTTCACATAATCTTCCTTAAATTTCCCCTTAATTCGAAATTTATTATGAAAAGAATTCCAACACTCATTCTGTGGAACATTTGAGATTTTGCTTCTGTCAACATAAATGTACAAATTTGTAGAGAATTTTTTGAGTTTATTTGAGCCAAACTGATGACTGTTGCTGGGAAGCAAAACTTCAACAGATTGACAACATGCTCTGGGAAAATGGTAACGTTGTACCCTGTTTTATACATTACAGCCAATAGAGAAGAGAGAAGTGGGTTTCATGAATTCCATTGATGATAGATAGGGTGGCAGGAGAAAGCAAAGTGGGGAAATGTCTGGGACTGGAAAAAGTAAAATGAGAGACACATATTTGTTTTACAAAGGTGGGTAGAGAATCGTTAACAGTGAACAACCTGATACTAGTAACAAAGAGGGGATTTGTGGTGCCTGTGCAAGGGTGGGGGGGAAGTTACTGTCACATTTCAAAGTTATGTTATAGTAGATGCGAAAAGACAATAGATTGGCTCCATTAAGGTGAAGATTGACTTTGACAAGGAAGATTCTATCCTAGGGCATGACTACCTGCCAAAATCTGCTTTTAGTTAAACAGTTTTAATTTCAGAGCATCCTATGTGGTTACTTTAGGTCTCTGAGTTTGTGTGGCTGCCACACAGGCCTCCCCTGAGCTTTTCAGGTTTAGTGTGTGGCCCCCTTTTGTCCACACTTAACAGCATGGTATCCATTTGGCTCAGATTAATGTCTTTTAGTTTAATTATTTAATTTTTTATTGTTCTGTTGTCCTAATTTTCCCATTGCTTTCCCGTGCCCACCCCCTGCCCTGTTTACATGTCGATGGATCATTTCTACTTCTTGCTTAACTAGGTCCTTCCCCCTCTTTACTGGTTTATTCCCCTTTCCCTCCCCCTCTGATCACTGTCAGTCTGTTCCTTGTTTCCATGCCTCTGGTGCTGTTTGCTTTGTTCATTAGGTTTCTCTTATAGGTGAGATCATCAAATTAACTCTTATACAGATGTTCTCTACAGGTCTGGATGTTCTTGATCTGTTACTGAACAACTGG